CACTGGCAGTTGCAGCTACAAACTCTGATCGGCCCTCTTTTGTAGCCCCAACATCTAAGGCAGCTTCACGTTAATCTTCCAGCATGGCATGGAAGAGAAGATCGCACGCTTCGTGCAGAGAGGGGAAAATAAATACATGTATAATAAAATCAATGAGTATTCTACACTTAGGCATCATCGCATTGTTTCGGGTTTTTCTAACTCTGATACACTCCCACCGCAAGGATTTCGAAAGACCTTTGATGCATTGACATGTTGCCCATGGAGCATGGTGCCTAGCTCCTCCACACCAACTTGTTGAATGACACAAGTCTTGTCTGCCGGTGCGGTTCAACCTCCTTCCAACCCACTTGTTGCAAGCTCTCTTCTGGCGGTTGCAAGAGCAACACCTGGTTGGTGATTGTTTTGCTGTATCGTTTATTCCAGGGTTTAGAAACTGTCGATGGACATGCAAATGGTTTAGTGAAATTTTGATGATTCGGGTGGATGATCGGATTATGGCTGCGTTGTTACGTAACCGGGGGGGTCTCGCCATATACTGATCGAAAAATCCAGATGTCATGAATCGTAGTCAACTCCATCACTGGAACTGTCCACTAGAACCACTTGAAAGTAAGTCTTGTGGGTGCTGGATTGATACCCTCTTAAAGGCCTGTGAAACCTCGTCACCCCTAGTGCACCATCCTAAAGCTACTGGAGCCCCGCTTTCGGAGAGGATTAAGGAAGAGGATGCAGGATAGTTGCCAGTGCTGCAATTCGGTGATTCTGGCCGTAGTGGAGCCCGTGGGCCCGCCGGTGATGATTATTAGGTCTCCAGATTAACCATCTCAGGGCTTTTAGCTTGTTGGCAGACTGCGGCTCGTTTTTGTCGGAAGATGGAACATGCCCGGTTGTGCTAATCCTGACTGTAGGTTCTCCATCCAGGGTTTTCTCGGGACAGACCTCGGGACCGATTTTATTATCAGACATCGAAGCTGGTCTGAAACAGTACATTTGACGCAGAGAGTATCTGGATTCAAACTAGAATTCAACGAGTGAACTCACATGTATGATGTCTCTCTCCTCCTCATGCAAAATCTAGTTGAAAGATTTTTATTCGAAACGGCCCATATTTCCATGTTGCCAACACGACCTTCAATTTTCAATCAGGAACCAGCTTACCATCACCGAAGTAGAAGACGAAGACGAAGACATGGATCAAAATCAACAGTAACTGAATCATAGTAGCGAAGATCTCAACCATTTCACCGTAAAAAACTCATCCATGAGAGACTGCTGTTGCTGCTCCTCCTCCGCCGCGCTGCTCTGTCGGCATGGACTCCAACTTGGCCGCGTTGCGATGCCATTCTGCCGTTTACCAGTTTCTGTTTCTTTGTTTACTTTGCTTTGTGAAACATCACGATTTCTTGAACAATTGAAGCTCTTGTCAGATTGGTCTCCTTTCACGACCACTCTAGTTCTTTTTTACATTTTATTTGCATTTTTTTTGTGTTTTTTTTTTCGCTTTTCGAATTCTCCATTCTTTACCAGCAGCCTTTCCATGGTTGATTGAAAGCTGCTCATTAAAACATGCCCCAGTATAAAAGTACCTGTTCTGTCGCATTAAAAATCTATTCTTGAATATGAGCTTATATGTGACCAATATATTCTATGTACATATTTGTAAACATTACTTTTTTTCTTATTTTTGTTATTCATTAAAGAAAACAATTGTTCAGCTTCCTTGCAGAATATATCAATATTCCAAAGAATGAATGATGTGTATGCATGACTTTTTGGTGTTGAGTCAAAAAAGTAACTTTTGAATGTTTTTAGAATGGAGTAAAACATAACTTTCAAAGCAGCAGAAGAAAAAGGACTTTTTCACTTCTAGAATATCTCATTTTGTGCATACAATACTTGATAAATCAAAAAAATACAAAAGCACCATACTTATCATAGAAGAGTGACTATAATTGTATCTTAAGGATTGGCATAAACTTTAAAAATAACACACGCTATTCAAATATAAATCATTATTCACCCAACGTAGAATGAAACAATACACTCCAAAATGTAGAAACAGCCAAGATCTGCATATTCAATCTACCCTAATCAGAGATGTTCTCCTAATCTTCAGTCCATAAGTCTAAATATTCCGCTTGCGTAGATGCAAAATTCCGCGTAACTGCGTTACGATGAAACCCTAATTTCGCCGTGAGGCAGAAACCCTAATTCCCTCCCATTGCAGAAAGTGAGATCGATCCAGATCCGAGTGCAGGCAGGCCCTCTTATTTCAGGAGACTGGGAGAAGGATGTAGAAGAAGTTGAATTAGAAGATGAATTGGACGATGGTGAAGCACCGGTTTCATTGGTATGTGAAAAAACGACAAATAGAACGAGAGACATTATTGGAAATTTTGGTGGGAGCGTTATTAGGGGGAGGGAAAGTGGGACGGGGAAGAGCTCGCCCATGCCCCCTCCCAGCAACAACTGACGAAAGCGTAGGCATGCCAGTCAATGGGAAAAGCGCCCGACGATTACATTCCCTAGTTTAATTAGCCTCGCTCAAGAGCCCCCCTTTTCTTTCTTATTTTTCTCTTCATGCCGATTTACAAATCAAAAGTGCTTCCTGACATGTTCCAGTTTTGCCCAGGTTTCCTCCATTTGCTCGGTCTTATCATTGCTGCTGTGCCTCGCCCCGCGTCTCTTGCGGATGGATGTTCCGCTCCGCCCTTAAGCATAATTTGAATGCGACACAGTTGCTGCTGAATTTCTTCTCCTAATTTCATGCTAATTTGACTTGGGGGGTAGGGGAGTTTCGATTTTTAAAATTTTCCCTTCCAGGGAGGAGCAGCTTTCACTGTTTACTTACTCTCAAAGTAATAAGAATTGTTTCTCATCCGCATGTTGAACATTTAATTACATTTTGGAACTTTACTGGCTTTAAGAGCTCGCTCTCGAGAATGTGTTTATGAGTGGCACATGTTGATTTTTTTGTGCTTCAGAAAAGTTGTGCATGGTCAGATATCGCTTGAGAAAGAGTCTAAGGATGGATCAAAGGTAGAGATGGTGGTAAGTGGGGTTATCTGTTTGATGACATGTGCTGAGGAGTTTGGTTTTCAGCGTGATCGTCGAAGCCAAAAATTTCCAGGAGTTGATCCTCTTGAGGTAGGCCAGGTCTGGCGGACCAAAACCTTTAGTCTTCATTACAAAAATAGTATTACGTCATTATTCAATAAACAGTGCACTTTGTACACTTCCTAGGAAAGAGTAAAAGAATGAGTTAAAATCCAGAGCGTGAAGGAATAACATATGATGGATATTCTAGATTGAGCAGCATTTTGACACGAGGAGAAGCTGGATCATGAAATGACAAGAATCGTGATATGGCGACCCTAGAACGAATCTAAGTCTTTAAGTGTTTAGGTCTGCATACCTCGTCAACAGAACGGTCTTACATTCATTATCACAATGAGAACATTGCATATTTTAGTTCCTTCAGTCATCAACCAATCAATGCGATCGATACTCGCGGTGTTTGGTGTCTCTGATTAGTTCGTTTTGCTAAATTACTTCCATTGAAGAATTTTTTTAGCCCAAAGGCAAATAGATTGTTCTTAGCAAGAGTCACAACTGGAAGTCTGTCTCCTCGACGAAATGCCTGAAACTTTGACTCTACTGGACAGGACAGCAGGATTCGAAGTTTGGAAACTGCCAGTTATACCGTACAGCTTGATTTAGACAAAGCAGAACCTCTTAGGAACTGTGGCAGTTGATGAATTTTTTTCACTCCTACTCTCACCCACAGAAGCATTCTCCTAGGTCTGAATTCTGCGGCGTTCGGAATGCAGGAGGGGGGCGAGGGGATACACACCACATGCCAGTATCCTCACACGTGTTAAAACACAGGTGAATAGTATTTGGGGTCCCCCAACTTCCTGTTTTCTGCTCATTGCGTAAAATGGGCAAACCTGGATTCAGATCTTAAACTTCTCGAACAAGCAATACTTAATGTGAAAGATCGAATGCATGAAACGACCGATAAAATAGGAAGTGTTTCCAATCAGAAAACTGCAAATATCGCTCGTGTACACACAACCCAAGCCATCGACGCTGCGTCTTGGGATTGGTACTTGGAATGAAATTATTCTCATGGATCCTTGTGCACACAGCTGCAGCGCTGACACATGTGACACTACGAGCTAGATACTATCCTCTTTATTTAGAATTATTTACCGCAAATATAATCAAATTGTCCACAGACACGGCATGGGTAAGTTGATAACCGTGGGCGGCAATGGTAGAATCATTTTTTATTTATTTTTTAATTCGGTGCTGACCACAGTGGCAGTCTGTGAAATCTGACTCACGTGCCTACCGAGCCCTGATAGCTAGGCAAAAATTAATACCACTTCTCGTTGAATTTGAGTAGGATTAATCAAATCTTGAGATTGTTAGTGGTATTAGAACTAACTAAATGGCTGCATGTATATCAGGCAGGTAATTTCCGATCGAAAATAACCACGATGAAATTGTAAATTTGATTTTCTTGAATATTATGCAGGTATGTAACCAGTACGAAGACAGGTTATTGAGCTGGATCAATGCAATTGGATGTAACTAAAGCTCGCCATCGGTGCTCTCGCTTCTGCAGCAGACCAGTTGGGTTCCATCTCTTGGACACTTGAAAGTCGAGTCTTGTGTGACTAGCAGATGTTGGCACCAGTGTGTACGTTTATCCGTAGACCCCACAGTGGCATAATATAGCAGCGATGGATTTAATGCGATGTTCTTGCGGGACTGTTTGGAAAAGGTATGGATCGGGGCCTACAGGCGCGTTTCGGGTAGCATTTTTCCAAGTGGCCTTCGTTTATTGGTAGTCTTGGGGAGGCCCCTAGATGAGTGTGGGTCCTCTGTTCTAGGTTACCATCATTGCCTATTGCATTCAAGCCTGGAGGGCACTTTTTCAGAATCCACCCTGTATGCTCATCTGGTTTACTACTTAACCCTGTTCTGATTCCAGTTTTCTTTGCTCATGCAGCTCTCGTAAGTCACAGTGTCCAGTCCATGCTCTTCGATTCTTCTGCTGATCTCTACAATGCCTTAGCTGCACAATAACTAAGACCTTTCAGACACTGCATCGAAGCTTCAAAACCTTCTTTATTTATTTATTTATTTATTTTTGGCGTGTGTGTGTGTGTGCGCGCCCTTGTGCAGTGGTTGGACAGTGTAAATTTCAAGGTGTGTTTAATGCTTTGTAACCGATATATTGATAGAGCGGAATGGTATCAGATTTAGATAATTGATGGGCTTTCGTAGGCGTGTATATTTCAATCAGAGTGGAGGGATCATCTCGGTTTGGAGTGGTACTCCTTGGTTGTACATTTGTCGTCATACACCATTTTCAGGACTTAGAGGCTCGTGGTGTGGTATCCGAATCATGTAAATAATCTCAGAGGGGCGGGGAGGGTGATGATATCCTTTGAGGAATGAGATCAACGTAGTTCTTTTAAATAGATATAAAAACAAGCCTGTATACGGACTTGTTGCGATCACCAGAAAATTCAGAAGATCAAGATTGGAGAGATATTTGCAACCGTTCTCGTAGTTTTGGTGTTGCTCAACACAGGTGGTTTGAAAGTAGCCGAGAGATTAAATTTGGTCTCAAGTGGTTCAAAGATGGCGACCAGTGTCGTAAACAGTTCGGCAGCCACTGCCGTGGCCTTCTCAGTGTGCACAGCAAGAACCTGCGACGTATGCGCCAACAAGAATGCGCAATGGTTTTGCTCAGCAGATGATGCGTACTTGTGCACAGCCTGCGACACGCAAGTCCACTCTGCGAATGCGCTGTCTCGTCGTCACGAACGAATTCATCTTCCTGCCCATGGCATGCGGACGCAATCGCACGCCACGGGATTCCAGGTTCCAGCGGAGGGACAGTGCGGTGCCTACATCATGAAGAGGCTACATCCACATCCTGAGCAGGTTCTGCCTTCGCGCAAACGGTCGAGGGTAAGCAAGCCTTATTCTCACCATCTGAGGAAGCTCACCAGAATGGTTTCGAAAGATTTGATCAAGTCTGAGGACTTAGTTGCGATCAACGCAGAGGCGAAGCTATTTGATTTCCTCAACACAGATGAAGTCCTGCACGGTGGCAACCAGGAAGTTCCATCGCTTTCCATCGTGATGGGCGCCGACGCTGCATGCTCCCCCGACATCGACCTACTATCTTCTGATTACAAATTTCAGGGTAACGATCATTCGGCTTCGGCAGACTCGTTTGCGGCGTTCTTCAAGGGAAAAGCAGCTCCCTCGCAGACCCTTTTCGATGACAGCGACCAGTTTCTCGTTCCCGACGCTTTCAACTTCCGTTTCGACGTCGAAATATCCGACCCCAGCACCACCCCAGCGGACGCAATCATTGGCCTCTCAAGCGAGGCATTTTTCCATTCGGGTGATATTCCCGGGCTCGATGGATTCGAGAGCTTCGTTCCAGACTTGAGCGTCCCTGGAAATTTCGGCTTGAACTTAGACCAAGAGCTTCATAATGGTGTGCAGGCTCCCTCACAACCAACAGAACCTGCTTCCCTCGGATGCAAACGCAACTTAGCAGCGCCTGACCACACCACCGCTGGTCCCTTTGCCAAGTTCTTCGCTCAGAAGCCCAAATCCGAGTCGCAGGAGCTGATTTCTCATGACGAGATCAAGAGAGAAGCTAAGGAGATGCTCAAGTGCTGCCGTGAGGGAGACGGCGATGCCCAAATGGTGCCTACCCTCAAGTTGAACTTGGAAGATGTCTTGGCTGCATGGTCTGACAAAGGGGAGCCATGGATCTCATCCGACGAATCGACCTCCTCAGGTAGTGATGTTGGCCTGGTCCCGGACATGCACTTCTCGACGGCCGATGACAACCAGAGTGGCGGTGGCAGGGATGCCAAAGTCCTTCGGTACAAGGAGAAGCGGGCAACTCGCCTATTCTCGAAGAAGATCCGGTATGAGGTCAGGAAGGTCAATGCGGAGCGTCGCCCCCGCATGAAGGGCAGATTCGTGAAGAGGACATCGAGCAACTCATAGACGCCATTGTGCAGCTCCGCCCATCTGCCAGAATAAACCTGTTTCATTTTTGTAGTTAAGTTTTCCAAAGGTTCATCATCCGGTAGCGTCGTTTTAGCAGTCGCTAGTGAAGCTCGTAGGATAGCAAGGTGTGATCTGTCGGGCAGCAAGAGCCGACGCCGAAACAAATTCGCAGTCTACTTTGGCTTGGTCAGTCAAAATTTGTTTCAGGTACGTGTCTTTTTGTTGGCTTGTAAAGCTGTATTCGAAGATGGAGACTTGGCGTTGTCATGTATCATAGAAATATCTCCGGCGCTCGCTGTAAATCTAAGATGGCCGTACACGTTTGCGGGGCCTTCGAATGAAGATGTTTCGAAGGTGTACGTTAGTCGGAAACCGGACTGGTCGATTGTTGAGCGTGGGCACTGGAGGGAACCCTTTTTTGCCACCCCTACGGTGATTCATTTGGCAAGGCTCGGCACCGCATTTGTGCGGTTTTTAAATGAGGGTTGCATTTTACAGCTTTTTTCATTAGTTCTCAGTCATAAGAAGCATGGCTTCCAACCTTGAGCTTGTGAGAATCAATAGAAATTTTCATTGGTTTATTTCCACGTTGAAGACGAAAGGCTACGATTGTGCCATTCGTCTTCGGGTTGGATTATTTTACCTCTGTTTTCTTTTTTTTCCTTTTTCTCTTATCTTCCGGTAATACTAACAAGGCTGTCTTAACTTTTGTGCACATCTGCAACGGTATCTTTCTTTGTAAAGGGGATCTGTTCATATTTAAGGTCACCTTACTGTGTCATGTCTGACACTCTGGCGATTAATTAGTTGTTGACTTCCTAATAGCTTTTTGTCTAGAATTCTCAGTGCACTAGTGTGTGCACTCAATAAGTGGGGAAAAAAATAAAAAATAAAAATTGAGGAATGTAACGAGGACGTAAATGACAGCATACTGCAGGTCAATTTTTGCCCCGACACTCGTGCAGCAAGGAGCACTGTATCGTAACTGAATGCAAGATTGACTCAATCGTTGCTGACAGAATCATGCACCAGGACAATCTATTCACAGTCGAGTTCGCCAAATGAGTTCTTGCTATCCTCAAGCCTCGTCATTCTTCTATGAGTGCCCTCGGTAGCTGCATACAACACTGCAGGCTCAGCAATACCATTGTGGTCGTATCAGCGTAGGAGAAGAAGCATGTAACAGTACAAGTATAGTTATTGGATAACACAAAAAAATTCTTCTTGTTACTTTCATTCCTCATGTCTGGGCAGATAAGATTTAGATAAACATCATCCTTTACCCAGTGACGTTCCCATATCCAGAAACGTAAGCAGTGAAGAGCTCACAAATTTATCACTTCGGAGCAAGATCTATCGTTATTATCGAGACCTGCAAGTCTAGTAAGATTTCCCTGAGCTGCGTTCGTATACGATGTCGGTCACCCTAGCAGTTCTGCTAGCAGAGCAAGGAAATAGACTATTATTGTTGGTTGGGTTCCATTACATTATTGACATGTCTACAGCTCCTAGTCTGACAGCAAGCCGTGACCTCTAGACCACAGCAGTCTCCACTACCTCGCAAGCCCGCAACTTGGCCGTAAACAATGATGAACTGTAACTCTCAAATTTTACACTGAAACCCTAAACCTCAAGTTGTCGTGATAGAGCATCGTTCAGGCACTGTAAATCCTGAAGTCAATCTTGATTCAGTGCAATTCAGAATTGTAGGAACCACTTCAGATTTTAAGTATGTAGACAAGATCCAAAAACTTCAATTATTAACCAAATACCTTACATTCAATCAAATCAATGTTCCCGGTGCCATGGAATGAGTTAAAAAGTGTGCAGGTACTCCTTGGCAATGTACTCAACCTCACGTGTTTGGCCATGACTGCTGCAGCAACCCCCACCATCTTCTTCAACACTGCATCTGATCCAACAACTGGAATTGCGTGGGTCACCAACCTGGATCTCTGCTGGCCAGCTGGTCTCACAAGGACAGAATCCCTGATGCCACATAAGCAAAGCCAACCCCAAAACTTCTTTCTTGACTCGACTATTAGAACATATAACTAATTAACCAACCCCGTGGTGTAACCGTAAAACAATCATAGAGTCACACCCAGTATAGGAGTCACAACCCCTCTTGTTGCACCTCCCTCAAATGAATAAACTATATAAAATATAGTCACTTAGTGTGAATTATATAAACAAATTAACCTCATTGCCTACAAGTGACTCTAATATGGTAATAAAGCTGAATTTTGCAAACTTTTTGATACATGTTCCAAAACAACAATAACAAAACTTACAAGAAAATGAAGTTATAGTGAAGATGTTCTTCATAAAAATTGGGGCACCAATAAACTTCTCTTCTCTTGAATATGGTTATAAATAGCCTCACCACCATGGAATGGCCAAAAATTGATGGCTCTTGGTACATCTTTTAGAAACAAAAAATACCAATGAAATTTGAGATAGAAGAATTATAGGAATTAGTCTCTTTTATAGAAAAAGAATCACATCTATTCCAAAAATCAATGCAATAATATTAAATCTACCAACAAACCAAGTTGCAATTATCATGTAGAAAAAAAAAGAAACCATGTTGTTTTAGGAGCTATATGGAATTGTATAGACAACTCAATATTTTCCTACATTCGAGCATGCAAAACAATCAATGAGGCATTGCTTGCTCTTTAAACATGTATTTAGCAAGTGATATTGTTACTCATGCTCACCTACAAGAAAAGTTCATTACACAAAAAATGAGAGCAAGAAAGTCAATAATAAAATATTAATATAATTTTAAAACTTTATTTCAATAATTTCATTCTGTTGAAATAATAATTATATTTTAAATAGAAATCTTTATTTTTATGAAATATGTACTATCTCAATATGATACAATCATTCAAATTCTTTGTACTACAAGAATTGCAACACTACCAAAATTAATTGTAATCCAACTTGAAGAGGAGACAACCATGAAAGAATTCTCTTTTAAATTCCAAACATTTTTATAGGATGCAAAGATAAAGATAAGTCGTAATCAAGATTTTCTACAAAATAATAACAAAATGACAATAATTTTTTTAAAATAAATCAAAATCAGTAATTTCATGTCTCTATTACAAAAAAAAATAAGTATTGAAAATTATAGTTTTTTACAAAAAACAAAAAATTTAAAACTTTTGCAAACATCATAACCATATTTTATGAAAATAAGAAGTCTAAATAGAAGTAAAAAAAATGTAGAAGAAATTACTTCAATATTTTATACTCATATCTATCTTACAAAAGTTTATTACTTTGAAAAATCTTTATAACTAGGAGCAACAAAAGATGCATAATAATTCATTAATATTGAAGCCACACATTACTTAAATCATAATAAAAAAATAATTTATCAATTTGAATCATTTTCACTTAAAAAAATAAAGTCCACTTTGGTGATGACACCACCCTTCCTATTTATGATCAAAGAAATATTAAAATCTCTATGATCAATAGAAAAATTATTTGTCTCATTAATACCTTCTATGTTTTTAACCTGCAAAAAATATTTGTTTTCTATCAAAGACTATGATCAACAAGAAAACAACATTCTAATAAAAAATTATATCTATGGACTTTTTGTATAAGACAATTCTATTCTACCTTATCATCTACTTTAAGATAATTTTTATCTATATAGTATCACTTCGCTCTAAAATCATAACATTGAATTCAATGTCATCATCATTTTAATTGACAATATTAACATACTATCAATAAAAACTCACAAAAAATCACTTCTTGGAACTTCTACAATCAATCTACTATATGATGCAAGCTCCTATGATCTTCTTTGTCTATATGCTTCATAAAGCTAAGTTATTCAAATCCTACTAAAAAGAAGCAATAACATATATAATCTATTTTCAAAATTAATATTCCAGCAAAGCAATTGTATAAGCCACTATTTTATTCAAAGTGTGGTACCAAATTGTTTTGACCAACATCACTCTTGAACTTGTTCTCTTGAAGCCCATTCCTCGCCACCACTATTCTTAGTACCTAATGGTTTTTTTTACCTTGCAAACTTTTTTGGACTCATAGTGTAATCTAGAATTAATGCTGCACATTAGCTATTATACTTAGCTTCTTTGTTTAATATTGGTGCCCTTTGACTTTAATCTCTCTATGACTAAATCTCATCTTTTTGCTAGTGCTTTTATTTAAATATTTTCTTCTATTACTAAAGATGTCCTTATTCCTAAAAATCCTACTAAGAACTACAATTTAGAGTTGCTTCATCTACCACCTAATGTTAAGAATAAGAAATGAATAAAGATAAATACAAAAAAGAGATATTTTTTTTAAAAGATAATAAAATAGAAATAATATATATATATATATATATATATATATAATAAATAAAATAGTTATTTCCAAAAAATAAGAAAACTAAAGACCTTAAAATTAAATTAGAAGCAAAAAAAAATGAAAAAAAAAAAAAAAAATGACAAGAGTAAAAAGGCTTTATTCTTGCATCTATATATACTATCTAATTAAGAGCTACGTGGCAATATTTTATAGGACCTATGATAGGCTTGTACTATAGGCTACTAACATGTGTGACATATGGTTAACTTGTTTGCCTAGTATTCATCCTACCAATCACCTACAAACATGTATAAAAGTGGAACCACATCTATGAAGCTTCTAAGAAGATTTTTTTTATAAAATATTATTAAATTAATCTACTTTTATCTGCTTCTATTTATTCATATTATTTAAATAATTATGAATATATATATATATATATATATATATTTGTGAAATTATTCTCCTCCTCCTTTTGAAAATAAATTCTACAAAGAACAATGATCACATGTTGAGGAAGTCTAATATACAATAAATTATATTTGACACTTACTCTAATCTTTGTTCTTTTGAAGGTAATTGATAGGTCTTTTCAACCATCAATAATATCTCATTCTAAAGCAGAAAGATTGTTTTGTTATTTAATTATTATTAAGGCCTTTCTAACTTCCTTCAAACAAAATATTTATAATAACATTATAAATCATTCCTATATCCAATAAAATCACCAAACTTTAGGAGTCTTTTTTAAGATTGTGATATCAAATGCATTATAGTTTGCGATCTATTTGAAGAAGTATATGTCATTCTTCAAGGTCTTCATCTCTATTACATTGTCTTGAAGGTTGTGACAATTGCAATGTCTTGTTCAATAAGTAAAAAAATCATAGTTCTTGAATTGAATCTCCTGATAATTAATTTTCCATCTTAATAGTTCTACTAATATAAAAAAATCACAATGAAGGATAAAAGATAGAATGCAATCTTTATTGAATATTTTTTTATATATAGCAAATATTTGATTGATTCTTCATATTTATTTTGATGGATAACATTAATAAAAGGCTTTGACCTTCTCTATTGCATTTGTAAGATTTTTTGCTAATTTTCATGTTATTCTCTAATATGTATTC